CTGGACCTGGTGGTGCTGGAGCAGCTGCTGGCCCTGCTGCCCGCGGAGATGGCGAGCTGGGTGAGGGAGTGCGGAGCCGAGAGCTGTTCGCAGGCGGTGGCCCTGGCCGAAGGCTTCCTCCTCAGCCAAGCCCAGCGGGAAGAGCCGGGAAAGGGGCAGGTGAGGAGGGCGGGGGGCTTCGTCCTGGGAGCTCCATTAGTGGGGGCGGGTGGGGAGAAGGATCAGGGATCTAGCCATGTCTCTAATAAGACAGATTAAAAATATGACTGCAGCCTTTTCTGGAATTCCTCACTTTTGAACAACTGATTTCTTCTTGAGGCAAATGCTTCTATTTCCTAAATTTATTTATCCCTTTACACCTCTGTATCCTTTGTGATATTATCCACATATTTCATCATGATTAGTGTTTACTTTGTGATCTGCTGTTACCTTAATCTAGATAGGGGGAAGCAACTGGATTATGTGAATGGCCTCTGATACAGCCAGGTTTAATATGTCGTATAATGCACCACAATAGTAAAAGAAACAAACTAATTAACACACCCTTACATTTTATGTACATAAAAACACAGTCCCTGAAGTATAAGTCAGATGCAGAGTCCCTGAAATGTCTCTGAATTGGGTTGCGGAAGTATAGGTAGGAAAGCAAAATGTAAGGAATACGAACTATCACAGATATTGTCCTCTGAAAATGGATTATGAATCAGTTTGTTCTTCAGATGCAGGAGCCGTTCACAGAGGAGATTTCAGCAGAGCTCCGGGGCAGAGGAGATCGATCCAGCTCTATTCAGGAGCTGTTTTTCAGGAGGACCCAATTCTGGCCACATTGCCAGGTAAGTGCAGGCTTCTTCTGAGAACAGTAGAATTCCAGCTCCATCCATTCAAGAGCTGTGTTTAATACCAAAAGCTGAGTCTATGTGCACTTCAACACAGTGTCCACTCACATTTTGCTTTCAAGATTGTGCCGGAAATGCAAACAAGACAATTCACAAGTAGGAACTTTGTATTAGAAGTGTAATTTAATTGTAGAAAGAGTTTAATATTTCTGAATATTAAGAAGAGTGCCTACAATAGTTAGACATGAAACCCATGAATTGAAACAGTAACAGTGGGATTAAACATACCTTAGAAGTGTTTGTTTATTTTATTAAATATTTATGCCACCGGTCTCCCTTGTAAGGTAACTGTAAGTATACCAAGAAAAATATAGCACATGAAGGATAAGCCAGTACGTCAACACTAAGTGGCTGTAACAATAAAACTGTTGTTCAAGTGACTTGGGATTTCAAGGACATTACCCATATTTTGAAATAGGTTAGGAAAGAAGTTCCTAGTGGCTCTGTCCTGTTTTCTCAGGAATTTGGTCAGCAAGGCATGTAGATTTAGGGGATTTTCTGCCGAAAACTACTTACTGAGTTACCCCAGGCCAGTGGGAAGCTCCCCATGGTTGGCTGTGTTGCATTCTACAACCTGGAAGCAGCTAAGCCGTGATTTGTTCAGCTGCAGCTTCCCAGCCCAATGGACTATGTGGACAGGGTGGCATGAATCCGTCCTGAAAGAAAATGTTCATTTGGCTCTTGCAACTGTTCATTTTATGTTGTGTGCATTAAGAGAGAGAACTTTCAAGTGTTTCCTGGGATTGTCTACTTTTTTCTCTTTCTAGAGTTCTAATCCCTTTGAGAAGGTGACTGTGGACTTCACAGATGAGGAGTGGAGGCTGCTAGATTCTGGGCAGAAGGCCTTCTGCAGAGAAGTCATGCAGGAGGTTTCTATCAATATGGCTGCTCTGGGTAAGGCCAGGCTATTCAGTTCACTATAAGGTGAATTGAGAAATGTCCTAGATATTCCATGGAAGTGACTGACTAGATTGACTGATCAACACCAAAGCTTTAACCTGTTCTTTGGCTGAAATCATTCTTTCTATATAGTCAGGAGACTACTAGATAAAAAATTGCCGCTATCACATCCTGACTAGAGAAATGGATTGTACTAAACCTGGAATGCAGATTGGCATGTTTTTACGGGCGGGGGAGCTTCTAAAGTCTAATCAATGTTAATTTTCTTTTTTTCCATGCAGATGATGTGTCTCTGAATAAGAACGATAAGGAGGCAAGGTTAAATCTACTCGAAATAGAGAAGAACGAAGTAAAAGTAGTTCTTGGCCATCAGAGGGACACCAAAAGGCTAAACATAAAAGAGCCAGAAAATGGAGGGGAGAAATCATCCACTTCTCTTGGTATTCATGGCTTCCTATCCCAGCAAGATCAAAAAGAAATGAGAAAAGAAAAATATAGAAAAAAAGAAAAGATGAATTTGAACTACATAACTATGGAATGTAAATGCATGGAATGTGGAAAGACCTTTGCCCAGAAAGTACATCTTATTCATCACAAAAGGATCCACACTGGGGAGAGACCGTATAAATGCACGGAATGTGGAAAGAGTTTCATTAGAAACAGTAATCGTATTTGTCACCAAAAGATCCACTCCTATAAATGCATGGAATGTGGAAAGAGTTTCAGTAGGAAAAGTAAACTTATTTGCCACCAAAGGGTCCACACTGGGAAGGGACCATATAAATGCATGGAATGTGGAAAGAACTTTATTCAGAAAGGACATCTTAATCGTCACAAAAGGATCCACACTGGGGACAGACCGTATAAATGCATGGAATGTGGAAAGAGCTTTACCCAGAAAGGAGATCTTCATCGTCACAAAAACATCCACACTGGGGACAGACCATATAAATGCATGGAATGTGGAAAGACCTTTACCTGGAAAGCAAGTCTTAATCGTCACAAAAGGATCCACACTGGGGACAGTCCATATAAATGCATGGAATGTGGCAAGAGCTTTACCCGGAAAGCATACCTTAATAGTCACAAAAGGATCCACACTGGGGACAGACCATATAAATGCATGAAAAATGGAATGACCTTTATCCGGAAAGGACAACTTAAGAGTCACAAAAGGATCCACACTGGGGACAGACCATATAAATGCATGGAATGTGGAAAGAGTTTCATTATAAACAGTAATCGTATTTGTCACCAAAAGACCCACACTGGGAAGCGACCGTATAAATGCATGGAATGTGGAAGGACCTTTAACCCGAAAGGACATCTTAATCATCACAAAAGGATCCACACTGGGGACAGACCGTATAAATGCATCGAATGTGGAAAGAGCTTTATTCAGAAAGGACATCTTAATCGTCACAAAAGGATCCACACTGGGGACANAATAGTCACCAAAGGATCCACACTGGGGACAGACCATATAAATGCATGGAATGTGGAATGACCTTTATCCGGAAAGAACAACTTAATAGTCACAAAAGGATCCACACTGGGGACAGTCCATATAAATGCATGGAATGTGGTAATACCTTTACCTGGAAAGGAAGTCTTAATCGTCACCAAAGGATCCACACTGGGGACAGTCTGTATAAATGCATGGAATGTGGAAAGAGCTTTACCCGGAAAGGAAATCTTAATCTTCACGAAAGGATCCATACTGAGGACAGACCGTATAAATGCATGGAATGTGGAAAGAGTTTTATTAGCAACAGTCATCTTAATTACCACCAAAGGATTCACAGTGGGAAGCGGCCATATAAGTAGATAGACTGGAAAAAGCTATAGTGGGAAAGCTCATCTTAATTGTCATGAAAGAATCCACACTGGGGATAGACCGCATTAATGCACAGAGTATAGAAATAGCTTTACTTGTAAAACACAATTCTCATAAAAAGCATATAAATCCATGGAGGGTAGAAAGAGCCTTTCTGAGGAAAGGCAATAGTGGCCACCAAAGTATTGAATGGTAAATAATATATTTATATTATAAATTCAACACGTAAAGGAGAAAAGTATAATTCCAAGAAATATTTTTAGCTTATTCTTCATCTTTAGTCATACAAATTCTTGATAAATTGGTTACGGGCCATCAAATGAGCAGGGGTCTGCAAACACTCAAAGAGCCACTTGGACCCGTTTCCCAGAGAAAAGATAACACTGGGAATTGCAAAAGTTGTGCCTGTGCGTGCGAGGGGGGGGGAGAGCTTGATTGAAGAGTTTAATTAAAAATAAATAGGGGCTGCTGTGCATGAGTTCTCTTCTTCTCCCTCTCTCTGTTACCTCTCTTTCTCACACTTTCCCTCTTTCTCTTTCCTCCCCTCTCCCTCTCTTTCTCCCTCTCTTTTTCTTTCCCTCTCCCTCACTTTCTCACTCTTCCTGTTTCTCTTTCCTCTCTCCTCTTTCCTCCCCCCTCTTTTTCTCTCCCTCTCCCTTTTTCTCTCCTCTCCCTGTCCCTCTCTTTTTTCTCTCCCTCTCTTTCTATTCCTTTTTCTCTCTTTCCTCTCCCTCTCTCTGATCTTCTGCTTACCTGGCAAGGTGACACACATTATTGGGCTGGCTCTCTCCTACCCTTCCTGCTTCCTGCAGAGATGCAGCAAAGGGAGGAGCCCTGGCCAATAAGCTTGTCAGCTTGTCGGAACAGCGTGGCGTGAGGCCACTCTCTTTTTTACACACACAGGGAAAGGAAGCAGGGAAGCGCAAGTGCCTCTGTCTCTACAAATGGCAGAGGAGGCTGGGAGCCGCAGGAGAAGGCTGAAAGAGCCACATGTGGCTCCGGAGCCACGGATTGCTGACCCGTGGCCTAGAGAGCAAGTCCCGTCTCCAGGAAGGGAGCATAGAGGAAAGGAAGCTCTCTGCTCCAGCCATCCTGCTGACCTCCAGGGCGAGGCAGAGGGCGAGGCTTCCCCTCGTTTGCAGCCCTGGATCCAACCTGCCTTCCCCTCCCGTCGCCCTCCCTGATTTCCATCCTGCGTCAGTCTCTGCATCTGACGGAGGCGGCTGCACTCACGAAGCTCTCCTTTTGCAAGGAAAGGTGTCGGTTGGATAAGGTGATACCAGGCGCCTTCTGACGTTCAGCCCCCGATCCGTCTGTCCTGCGCTGGACCCAGAGACCAAGGAGAGCCCCTTTGATCACAAGAAAGGAACACATCATAGAATGCAGACTACGGTATACAGTATATTTTGAAAAGAATTTATTATCTTCAGTTAACATTACAAATACGCAGAGAAATTCAAGCATGGGATGAGAACAAGGTACTGGTTGTGCTGACCAGGGCTTATGTACATTTGAAGAGAAAAATTACGACTGCAATCTGGATATGTAAAATAAAATGACAACATCTATATCAAACAGAATGTGCCACTAAATTGGGCAATACCCAGAGGTTCAGAAAATATATCCTGAGGAAAAATATAAGGGGGGGGAGAAACTTTGTATGACAACTTAGTTCACCCAAGAACCAAGGAATATGGAGTGTCAAATGGGAAGAACCGAGAAAAAAACCACAATATTCTGCCAAAGGACAGGGACAATTGATCAGCAGGATAACCTTTCTACTCCACAAAATAAGAAAAGAGAAAGAATGAAAATAATTTTGAGGTTTAAAAAAAATTATATTAATGGCCAATGGGGCTATAACACTAATAAACAAGATGTTAAAAAATATATAGAAGGTGAAACAATTGATTAAAAAATCAGTTTTTGGGACTGAATAAAAAGTAAAATACTTGGGTGTTAATCTGACAAATATGAACTGTATGTTGTTTCAAAATAATTATGTTAAGGTATGGGTTGAAGTTGATAAAGATATGGTAAAGAGGGAAAAGCTACAGTTGTTGGGGAGAATTTCTTTGATTAAGAAGAGAGATTTATCTTGAACATTATTTTTGTTCCAGACAAAACCTATTCTCTCAACTGAGGTAACATTTAAAGCAGGGCTTTTCAACTTTTTCACAGATTGTACCACTTTTAGGATATGGCAATATTCGACTACCACCAGTCACCTAGCAAGGTATCAAAAACTTGATGACCAAACAAAAGGGAAAAGGTGATAAAGTACAGGTGGCCCTCGACTTACAACAGTTCTCTTAGTGTCACAATAGCACAGAAAAAAGTGATTTCTGACCATTTTTCACACTTATGACCGTTGCAGCATCCCCAGGGTCACGTGATTTACATTTGGATGCTTGGCCACTGATTCATATTTATGATGGTCCCGGGGTCACGTGATCCCCTTTTGCAACGTTCTGACAATCAAAGTCAATGGGGAAACTAGATTTGCTTAAGAACTGTGTTACTAATTTAACAATTTCAGTGATTCACTTAACAAATGGGGCATAAAATTGGACAAAAGTCATAAAGTCATAAAATTGGACAAAACTCACTTAACGAATTTCTCACTTAGCAACATAAATTTTGGGCTCAATTCTGGTTGTAGGTTGAGGACTGTCTATACACCCACTTAACACACTTTTAATGGGAAACTTGTGCTTCTTTCTCTGACAGTAATCTTTGCACTGTTCTAACCCCTTCTCTCCCTCTCCTTGTCTTAAAGAAGCCTCTCCTCTTCTCCGTCTCTCTTTCTGTGTCCCATTCTCTTTCCCCATTGGGTTTTTTTCTCTCCCTTTCCCTCCAAAACGTCCCTTTATATCCTCATCTCTGCCCCCCCTCCTCATCTGTGTAGTTGCAGCTGACTCCTTTCCCAAAGGCTACTTCCAGGAGCGACAATCAGATGGAGCCCTCTGGTGATCCTGGGAGATCAACAGTGCCCTGGCAACACCATAGCTCCAGCTGACTCTCTCACAGGCCTGTGCGGGTTGCTGCTGCTTCAGCTCATCCCCCGGTACACTTTTCCACTTTTTTTCCACTGCTTTTCAACCTGTCGTACGCATAGCACCTGCCACCTGCCGAAGTACCACCAGTGGTACGCGTACAACGGGCTGAAAAGCACTGATTTAAAGAATGGCAAAAAAAATATCAAAATATTATTTACTAAATTTATTTGCTGCCTGTCTTTCCACAAGCGGGCTGGGTGCTTACAAAGTTAAAAGCAATAAAACAGTGTGTGGTCTGTACTCAGTGTGTGGTCCTTAATGGAACCAACTTTGCAACTTTTTATTCTGAGTTCACTACTAGTCTTTTAGCAGAAGACTTAAAATGAGCACAATGATTTCATTTTCAAAGAACTTTGCATGTTAAATAATAAATCATAGATATTTTTATATTGTAAATTCAACACCTAAAGGAAAAAAGTATAATTCCTGTATAAAACATATACAAATTTCTACTCTGAGAAGTCTATTTAGTTATCATATGGAATTAGAGATTTCTTTTAGCTTGTTCCTGATCTTTGGTTATACAGATTCTTGATGAATTGATTACAGGCCATCAGATGAGTAAGTTTTTCTCCAAGATAATCTGTTCTTTCACGGTTTCCAGAGGAGGAGTATTTAAACAGAGACAGGAAAAACGAGTTAAAAGTAATAAAACAGGGTGTGATCCGTACTCAGTGTGTGGTCCTCAATGGAACTGCATCTACATAGAGGGAAATGTGTAGTGGGGTGCCCCAGGGCTCTGTTCGAGGCCCAGAGCTCTTCAACATCTTCATCAATGATTTGGACAAAGGGATAGATGGGGAACTCATCAAATCTGCAGAAGATACCAAGCTGGCAGAAATAGCCAACACTCTAGAAGAGAGGCTTAAGATACAGAAGGATCTTGACAGACTTGAACATTAGGTGCTATCTAACAAAATGAAATTCAATGGTGAAAAAAGTAAGGTTCTACATTTAGGCAAGAAAAACCAAATTCACAAGTATAGTATAGGTGGTACCTTGATCAACAGTAGTAACTGTGAAATGGATCTTGGTGTCCTAGTGGACAATCAACTTAAATATGAGCCAGCAGTCTGCTGCAGCTGCCAAAAAACCCAACACAGTGCTAGGCTGCATTAACAGATGGATAGAATCAAGATCACATGAAGTGCTAATACCACTTTATAATGCCTTAGTAAGACCACACTTGGAATACTGCATCCAGTTTTGGTCACCACGATGTAAAAAAGATGTTGAGACTCTAGAAAGAGCAACAAATTTGATTAGGGGACTGAAGGGTAAAACATATAGAGAACAGTTGCTGGAATTGGCTATAAGAGAAGGACAAGAGGGGACATGATAGCCGTGTTCCAATATCTCAGGGGCTGCCACAAAGAAGAGAGAGTCAAGTTATTCTCCAAAGCACCCGAAGGCAGACAAGAAGCAATGGATGGAAGCTATCCAAAGAGAGAAGTAACCTAGAACTAAGCAGAAACTTCCTGACAGAACAATTAATCAGTGGAACGAGCTGCCTCCAGAGGCTGTGAATGCTCCAAAAATGGAAGTTTTTAGGAAGAGACTGGGGAGCTAATTGTCTGAAATGGTGTAGGGTTTCCTGCCTGAGCAGAGGGTTGGACTAGATGACCTCCAAGATCCCTTCCAACTTCATCCTCATCATCAAAAAAAATACAAATATATATAGCAATAAAATTATACCTCTGAAATAACAAAAATAAAAATTCATGAAAGGAACAATCAAACTACTGTACAAATGCTTAATTTTGCACGTGGCTTCCCTCTTCACAGGAATTTATCACCCAAACCCCATTGTAACAGCCAGAGTTGAGTTGGGACTGGAAGTAAGCGGTTCTTGTTTCCTATTTACAAACTGCCTGTAATGCTTGATCAGACAGAGAAAAGCCTCCTACAACAAATTATTAAATTAAGGGGTGGGTATAAGAAGCAACTTTGCAACATTTTATTCTGAGTTCAATTCTCGTCTTTTAGCAGAAGACTTAAAGTGAGCACAATGATTTGATTTTCAAAGAACTGAGAGATAGATAGCTATTAGCACCCAAAGGAAACACTTCGGACATCAGAATTAGCCCAAACCCTGAAACAAGTGGGCAATTTCCTTCGAAGAAAAAGAAATATTACAATTAAATATTACAAAGGAAACCCCGACCCATAAACCTGCCATCACAGATGGATGTTAAATAATAAATCATAGATATTTTGATATTGTAAATTCAACACCTAAAGGAAAAAAGTATAATTCCTGTGTAAAACATGCAAATTGCTACTGAGAAGTCTATTGTTATATGGAATTAAGAATTTGTATTAGCTTGTTCCTTTCAGCGGAGGCTCCCCGACTTCCATGCAGGGCGCAGGACCCGGGCAGGAGTAAGCGGCCGATGAAGAGGGGCGACGCCGAGATCATCGGTCCGTCCCTGCCCGTTGCAAATATCGCCGTCCCAACGTCCGCTTCCACCGCCCGCCTTTCAGCGAACCCCGCCCCTCTCCGAAGAAGAAGAGCAGCAGGGACGTAGATATTCCTGGAGACCGGAAAAGGAAGGTCCCCTTTCATTCTCTTCCTACCAGGTCCCCTCTAGGAAACACAAATCTCTCGTTCTGGCTCCTTGTTTAGCAGGGGTCTTCAAACTTGATCCTTTTGACTTTTGGATTTCAACTCACAGAATTCCTCAGCCAGAGTGCCAGGAGCGCTCAGGAAATTGGCGGGAAGGATTTGCCGTTGCTCTCCTCAGGCGGGTAAAGGCCGAGTGAGGGGAGACCCATTTCTGCCCTCCTGCAAACCGGAGAAGGGGTTGCGGAGGGGCCGGGGGACATTTGGGACTCTCTCGGGCTTCTTTTGGCTGCCCTCGAGCAGGAGACCCGACGGAGGCCCAGGGATCTCCAGGGATGGAGGCCGCCCTCAGCCCAGAGATCCACCGGCGGCGCTTCCGCGGTCTGGACGGCTGCCGCCAGGAGGCCGAGGGGCCCCGGGAGCTTTGCAGCCGCCTGCACCGCCTGTGCCGCCAGTGGCTGCGGCCNGGGAGATGCTGGACCTGGTGGTGCTGGAGCAGCTGCTGGCCCTGCTGCCCGCGGAGATGGCGAGCTGGGTGAGGGAGTGCGGAGCCGAGAGCTGTTCGCAGGCGGTGGCCCTGGCCGAAGGCTTCCTCCTCAGCCAAGCCCAGCGGGAAGAGCCGGGAAAGGGGCAGGTGAGGAGGGCGGGGGGGCTTCGTCCTGGGAGCTCCATTGGGGGGGGAAGGATCAGGGATCATGCAGTGTCTGCAAGAAGTGAAAGAGATTAAGAACATATCTATGCAACCTTTCAGGAATTCCTCATATTTGGAGAACTAATTTCTTCTTGTTTCCTAAATTAACCATTCTCTTTCTTAACACCTCTGCATCCTTTGATATTATCCACATATTTTATAATAATCAGTGTTTACTTTGTGATCTGCTGTTATCTGAATCTATATAAAGGAGAAAGAATTGGATTATGTGAATGGCCTCTGATAGAGAGCCACATTTAATAAGCTTTATAATACCGCAATTGTAAGAGAAATGAAGCAATTAACACATCCTTACAGTTTATGTACATGAAAACACAGCCTACAGTTCTAACTCCCCTGTGTTCATCATTTACTCAGAAATATAAGTCACATGTAGAGTCCATGAATTCTCTCTGAATTGAGTTGGGGAAGTACAGGTAGGGAAGGAAAATGTAAGGAATGCGAACTAACATGATATTGTCCTCTGAAAATGGATTGTGAAGTAGCTTGTTCTTCAGATGCAGGAGCCATTCACAGGGGAGATTTCAGCAGAGCTCCGCGGCAGAGAAGATCGATCCAGCTCTATTCAGGAGCTGTTTTTCAAGAGGACCCAATTCTGGCCACCTTGCCAGGTAAATGCAGGTTTCTTCTGAGAACAGTAGCGTTCCAGCTCCATCCATTCATGACCTGCCTTTAATACCAAATGCTGAGTCTGCGTGCATTTGAATAGAGTGTCCACCCACATTTTGCTTTCAAGATTGTTCTGGAGATGCAAATGAGACAATTCACAGGCAGGAACTTTGTGTTAGCAATGTAATTTATTTAGTACAAAGCGTTTAGCACTCCATAATACTATTCAAAAGTGTGCTTAAAATGAGTTAGAAATGAAACCCATGAATTGAAACAATAACAATAGGATTAAACATACTTGAGAAGTGTTGTTTCTTTATTTTGTTAAATATTTTTGCCACCCATCTCCCTTGTAAGGTGACTATAAATATACGAGCAAAGGACCACATGAAGGACATGCCAATAAGTCAACACTAAGTGACTGTAACAATAAGACTGTGGTCAAGTGAGTTTGGATTTCAAGGATGTTTCCAATATTTTGAAATAGGTTACGAAAGAAGTTTTTAGTGACTATGTCCTGTTTTCTCAGGAATTTGGTCAGCGAGGCAAGTAAGTCTAGGAGATTTTCTGCCGAAAACCTACTTGTTCAGTTATTCCAGGCCACTGGGAAGCTCCCCAAAGTTAGCTATGTTGCATTCTACAACCTGGAAGTAGCTAAGCCATGATTTGTGCAGCTGCAGCTTCCCAGCCCCACAGACTATGTGGACAGGATGACATGAATCCGTCCTGAAAGAAAATGTCCATTTGGCTCTTGCAATTGTGTGTTTTCTGTTGTGTGCAGTAAGAGAGAGAACTTCCAACTGTTTCCTGGGATTGTCTGCTTTTTTCTCTTTCTAGAGCTCTGATACCTTTAAGGAGGT